AACAAAATTTGCATAATCAGGGCAGATTTTACGACTTGATTTATTGGACGTTGTAAATGAGTGACGTGTGCGTTTCGTTCCGTCTAGATAATTGGATTATTATTTGAGCTAATCATGATCCTCTTTACTGAATTCCGCACTGCCTTTCTTAAGATTCACCATCAAATGATTTCTGCAATCCATCCGCATCATTCTTTCCTTTCAAGCAGCGGAACTCCCATGTTTTCTTCCGGAAAAAATAACTTTTGTCATAAATTCTACTTGGTATTGCCACCAAAATTATCATGACTACCACTGAGAACCCCCTCGAGCACTGAGATTGTCGTTAATTCGTAGTTATCGATTCTGCGTATGGTTTGCCGTTATTTGTAATGATGAAAACAGTCGAATAGCAAAAGTGGTGAGTGCTGGACGCAGGACGGTGTCAGTCGGCGGCATGCATTGTCGAAAATAAGAGATATGGTAGCAACGTAAACAGCTGTCACTCAAAAACGAGGAAATCAAGAACATCCAAGGATTCAGGAGAAACGCATCCGATTGTCACTCACTCGAGCAATGAGGAATTACGAAAACGATAAAAACAATCGGGATTCACCAAACTCGACAGGAAATTTTCATCCTTCGCTGCTGTTTTTGAAACCACCTATTTTCTTTTTCATACATCATGTTCAATTCTCCTACTTTTTAGCGCACCCAAATTTGATTGCATTTTTGACTCACGGTGGAATAAATAGCATCACGGAAGCGCTGAATATTGGTAAGCCAGTGATTATCGTGCCAGTGTTTGGTGATCAGATGCGAAACGGTATTTTGGCAGAACGAGCTGGTTTCGGAAAGATGCTAACGATACCTGATATTACCTCTGAAGGAAAACTGCGTAAAGCGTTCGCTGAAATGCTGAATAACAACAGGTTAGCGATTTAATTCATTTCTTAAAGTTTCCGCCTAAAGATTTCTTAACCTTAAAGAAACATTCTGGAGGTCATCTTATTCAAATGGATACGATCTTTTGGGAAGCAAAGGTCTAACATAAGGAAGTGGGTTTGAAAATCAGAGCATCAAAATCGTATGTAATTTAATCGCTGGAATGAGCGAGACAACAGACTTTGCCGGCTGTGAAAAAATTGATGGAGTAGCTCATACAGTACGCTAGGTGACTGGCATGCTGAATGTTGCCGTAATGAGGACAAATTAACTAAGGTCGGTAACTCTTCGATTTGTAACCATCGCTTTCAAAGCGGTAAAACTGACTTTAGGAAATAGAAGAATAGAAGAATTTCACTTGAATGTCATGTGTTTGAAGACATTTTATAAGTTTAGGGAAGCTGAAAGTTGATTTTAGGCATAAACATAACGACAAGTGGCACCTCTGGATGCGTTCTGGATACGTTGAGGACTTCCCACAATAAGTAAAATCTAAGGGGTGGGGATAATCTGACTTTTGACTACGAAAACATATAGATGTGCTTCGATTAAAGACATAAAAAGGAACAAAAATTTTGCTTATCATGTCTGCTTATAGCTCATGGCGTTAACAATCTTAATACTCTTGCGGATGATAACTCCCGAAAACCCATGATGTGCGGGGATGAAAAAATACTTTTAAAGGAGTTGAAGCAGACATTTTTACAACTGTTATGCCCTCTCTCAAAGATCGAGGTGGCCAGCAAATTTCGTCTCTTGAAAACGGAGATAAAGAATGTAACACGTCAAATTCATATTCTACTATTCTAGCTACATGCTGAAGGCGAAGCAACTGGCTAGGATGATAGCACGGCGCCCAAATCCATCACGTGAACAGCTCATCAGGCATGTCGAGTTCGCAGCCGAATTTGGGCGTATTCCGAATTTCGATCCGTACGGCCGGAAAATGTCGTTCGTCTCCTATTTCATGCTTGACATTATTGTACCGTTCCTGTTACTTGTCGCAATGATTGTCCTTGGTGTACTGTACCTCCTGTACAGGGCGTCCAGAAAATATATATTTCGCATGGAAAGGAAAAAGACAGAAAAGAAGGAACAATAATAATTGAAATGCACCTAATCAAGCAAGGAAAATGAACTCCTTTCGATATTTTTTTCAGTTTCTATTGTTTTTCGCATTTCCAACATTTTTTAAATTTCCAGTATTTTTGTCTTGTATTATATCTTTATGCAGTATTTTTGAATTACTACATTTGTTAGTAATTTGTATAAAAGCCCTTCGGTAAATTTTCACTGCTCAGTAATCAATTGGACCTCATTTTCTAGCTCCACTTTGTTAAACTTCAGAATTAGTTAACATTTTGTTCGCTACTTCATTTGAATGTATTTAATTTTGCTACATTTTTGCCCATTTATATTTTCATTATCAATTTCTTTTCTCTTCGAACAATATATTCTTTGTCAGGATGCAAAATTGTGAAAGTACAGCGTACGATTGCCAACCCAAGTAACAGCAAGCACCTGGGTTTCCGGTCCAATCAGGTGTTTTTGCAGCCTGAAATTTGCCGTACCCTGTGTGAGACGTTAGAGTGCGTAAAAGATACTATCACATTTTTCGTGCTTCACAGAATCTGAGTGTGTTTTCATAAAATGTCATCCTGAACTCTCGCCAAAAAATTTGCATGTTTTTTTTTTT